ATGAAAAGAACATTATTGCAAGCGCTTATTAGAAGCCGATCATATCTCTCCTCACTGACTTATGCCACTTGAAGGGTTAAAGCTTCAAGCAAAATTGGGAGGTTTGAAAGAATCAATCAGACTTACTTGGAAGTAAAGTGACAGACACAACTCTGAGAACAATGATTTGTTTAAATACACAGTTAATTGCATATCGTGCTTTTAATTTTTTTTCAAAATTGAATCTCAAAACTGACAAAAATATGTTAATAGTGTTCTTTGAAATTCCAACTTTTTATTCCCATATTTTGAAAAACTGAACACAAAATTCTACCGTCCAAACAACTTCTTTTCTGTTTTTTTATATTCGAAAATAGAAAAACTGTTTCGCATTTACTGTTTTACAAATGCAAAACAGTTTGATCCTCATTTTCACAGCTCACAGAAGATTTGATTTACAACATAATTAAAACTTAGGAAACAGAATTTCTCAATTGAATAAACAGATTCTATGCTAAACACGTCTATGTTTAACATTTTATGTAAGCCTACAAACATAATAACAATTAAGACTGAGAATTTTCTTACTTTAAACATCCACCATCCGCTACCTTATATGCGAAAATAATAATGTCGCATTTTTACTCGCTCATGGGATAAATCTTCAGTTGTCCAAGGATAAAAAGTCACATAGTAAAGCAGGTATTACAAAAAATTGTTGTTCCGTTTGTTGCGAGGAAAGAAATCTCAATATTCCTGTCCCTTACAAGGGGTATTAATATTGTGGAAACTTTTATTCTCCTTTCAAGTTTTACAATTTGAAAAGCTCAAATGGAATGAGGCCCGAGCCACTCACTGTGTAATCAGCTGGCGAATAACGTATGGAAGAATGCCACCATTATTGAAATAAGCCAACTCCACCTGAAAAAGAAATTGAAGTGTTAACCCAAACCTCATGCTTGCAATGTTAGTTCTGATTGACAATAAAACAATACACCAACTCCATGACACAAATGCAGTTGTAATAGGCTGTGTGGTGGTTGAAACTCATGCTGCTATGCATCAACATTCCTTTTTGACAATACTACTCCCAACCCCAAACCCCACCCCACCCCACCCCACCCCCCAAAAAAAAAAAAACCAAAAGAAGGAGCCCACAGCAACACAAAAAGGGCTTAAACTCTAATCACTTTAAAGTTGAACCTTCTGTTTTCATTACATCAAAGGAAGTCAGGTTCCCATTTAGGCATGCGGAACACCTAATTGAACTATCTATGGTATTTTTTGTTAAGGCCCTCCATAAGCAACCTTGGTCGAACAATTTTTCCAACCAGCCATTGCAAACTTATTCATACAATGCACCAGCAAGTTGGTTTTTTCCCCAAGCAGAACGATCTATTACCTACATTAGGTCCTACATAGTAAATCTTAGCCAGATGACTTGCACACCATCAGGCAAACCAGGCAGCAAAGTCATAGTTACGTAGCTGCCTTCAAATTGGCTTATTTTATTCTACATGGCACAATTTAGCTTGGACATATGACATAGTTGTTACAGCGCAAATTACTTATACATAGCTTGAAAAAAATTGTTTTAATCTTAGATTCAGAATCTTCATTCATCATCTATTACTGTTGAGAANACATAGTAAATCTTAGCCAGATGACTTGCACACCATCAGGCAAACCAGGCAGCAAAGTCATAGTTACGTAGCTGCCTTCAAATTGGCTTATTTTATTCTACATGGCACAATTTAGCTTGGACATATGACATAGTTGTTACAGCGCAAATTACTTATACATAGCCTGAAAAAAATTGTTTTAATCTTAGATTCAGAATCTTCATTCATCATCTATTACTGTTGAGATATGCAGCCAACTCGTCTTGTTTTAAAAAGAGTGATCACCAGTAGACAGATGAAAGAGTCCCCCGGAAATTAGGTGGTGGCCTTTCACAAATTAGAAGAAGCAGACAATATGACGCATGTATTTATTAACGTCAAGCTGTCCATTTCAATATTCATTTCCTTTGTTTTGCAGTACATTTACTTTAACATTTTCTGTAACTACTAAAAAAAACAGAGATGCAATCCAAGCACTTCACACTCTGTGCGTGCGTGCGTGCGTGCGTGCGTGCGTGCNGGTGGTGGCCTTTCACAAATTAGAAGAAGCAGACAATATGACGCATGTATTTATTAACGTCAAGCTGTCCATTTCAATATTCATTTCCTTTGTTTTGCAGTACATTTACTTTAACATTTTCTGTAACTACTAAAAAAAACAGAGATGCAATTCAAGCACTTCACACTCTGTGCGTGCGTGCGTGCGTGTGTGTGTGAGAGAGAGAGAGAGAGACTCCAGTAGACATTTTACACGAATACATAACAATTTGTCATTCCATAAATTTCTGAAAACAATTACCTACATTGTCTGAAAATATTATTATCTAATCAGAGGCTAGTTGTGGTTTGGCTGCCTTACTAAACATTGGTCGTTACTCCAAGTAATGATTTTTACCACAAAAACTGAGCCACATTAATTTTGGAGAATCAAGAACTTGTCAATTAAACTAAACATCAAATCTCTCCTTCCTAGTGTATACCATGCCACGTCCTTTTTACTATAAGAATTACATGCCATGTGGTCTCAAACACAAAAAAGTAATACAAAAACCTAGAGATAAGGAAGTTAGGGCTACCTCGGTGTCAAAGCGGGCGGTGCAAGTGAAAGATTTTCCAGAGTCGNTTAAACTAAACATCAAATCTCTCCTTCCTAGTGTATACCATGCCACGTCCTTTTTACTATAAGAATTACATGCCATGTGGTCTCAAACATAAAAAAGTAATACAAAAACCTAGAGATAAGGAAGTTAGGGCTACCTCGGTGTCAAAGCGGGCGGTGCAAGCGAAAGATTTTCCAGAGTCANGACACTCATTGTACCTCTAACAAAAAGATTAACTACTCACATAGCATACCCACTGCAAAATTCTTCATGGACTTAAGACGTGAATAAGGACTTGCACTACAATATATTTACTCACCCAAACTCAACACTCAACCTTAACTGTCATATGTGAGTATCGTTCAAATGATATTACAGGATATACAATATCCTAGGACATAAATATAAAAAATAGATTTATTAATGAAAAGACCAGCCCTGCTGCATGGAGTTTATTTGTGTAACACGGCATGTCCCTTAATCTCGTATAACATGCTCAGTTTGTCATCTTCTACTTCAATTTCCTTCATTTACATCCTATTTCTTTCCCTACTGGAAAAGCAATTCTACATTTTCACCACAGCATGTACTTAACATACAATTCACCCTCTGCCTTATCTTAAGCCTCCCTAAGCACCTATTCAGCTTCCTTGTTGCATATTTATTTGTGACAGGATCTTTTTGCACAAATGATGTTTGAATCCCTCTGAGTCCCACCACCAAGTTTCTTTAAGTTATAGCCTGCTACCCTTCAATCCAAGAACCCATTTTACCATTTTTAATGACATTCAGCCATTGCACAAAGGTGTAAATGCTCATTCAATTTGAATAATAATTTCAGAAATAATGCTTTTGTCCCTTCAAGTTCCACCATTTGCTTCTCAGATGTTCCACCAATTTCCTTAATTTACATCCTCTTTCTTTCCCTACTGGAAAAGCAAGTCTACATTTTCACCACAGCATGGTACTTAACATACAATTCACCCTCTGCCTTATCTTAAGCCTCCCTTAGCACCTATTCAGCTTCCTTGCTGCCTATTTATTTGTGACGGGATCTTTTTGCACAAATTGATGTTTGAATCCCTCCGAGTCCCACGACCAAGCTTCTTTAAGTTATAGCCTGCCACCCTTCAATCCAAGAACCCATTTTACCATTTTTAATAACATTCAGCCATTGCACACCACNGTTTCTTTAAGTTATAGCCTGCTACCCTTCAATCCAAGAACCCATTTTACCATTTTTAATGACATTCAGCCATTGCACAAAGGTGTAAATGCTCATTCAATTTGAATAATAATTTCAGAAATAATGCTTTTGTCCCTTCAAGTTCCACCATTTGCTTCTCAGATGTTTACCATACCTAGCCTTTCTTAGTCATCTAGTAGTACATACATCTAGCACATCTATTGTGTGGTTAGAGACCTTTACTATAGTTACTTTACAACCCTTGCAACTTCCTCTTTTGAAATTCCAAGTATTTTTGGCTGACCAAGGGGGAGAGGAGGATCCATATTGACTAATATTTGTTTCCCTCTAGATCATTGCTGTTCTCAAGTTGCCTTTTCATAATATCATGGTGAATCAATTTCTCAAAACAGATAACATAGTAACAAAGCCACTCTTAATCAATTTACCGTGCCAGCAAGGGCATAGGCAACAACTAAAGGAGGTGAAGCAAGGTAGTTTGCTCTTGTCAAGGCATGAACACGACCCTCAAAGTTCCGGTTCCCAGAAAGAACAGCAGCTGCAACAATGTCTGCAGAGAAGACCAAAAAATCAATTTGGTGGTCATGAAAAAGAGAAATCAAAAACCAAACAAACCCACAGCTCAATTTTATGAACTGTAGAGACTTAAGAAACAAGGCAGGGACAATACCATTTTCTGTTATTGCAGAAGCAACTGTTTCATCTAAATCCCCAGAATTTCCAATACAGGTTGTGCAGCCATATCCAACAATATGAAAGCCTTGCTCATTCAAATACTTTTGCAGCCCACTGCATCAATACAAGTACCCATTTTTTGTTAATAATTAGGGAACAGATATCACTGGACTATTTGAGTGTTCAATGTAACTTTTTCCCTTTAAATACTACAAAAATACCTCTGGAGTAAATATTTTGTAACAACACCAGATCCTGGAGCGAGACTAGTTTTAATCCATGGTTTAACCTGGAAAATTTATAAATAAAAAGTAACAATTTAGAAGAAATATTGAAGCCCTTAAACATGATATTCACACAAGAGGATCAACTAATCAAATTAGACCATGAAAAACTATAGAAATGAAAGTAAGATATCTAATAAGAAATATAAGTCACTAGACTATGACTGACCTGTAGACCCAATTCGCATGCCTTTTTGGCAACAAGGGCTGCACCAAGCATAACACTAGGGTTTGATGTATTTGTGCAGCTTGTGATAGCAGCAATCACGACACTACCATGCTTTAGCTCCGCTGGATTTCCATGGAATGAGAATTTTGCCACTTTTTCTTGGGTATCCTTTGGTACAGCAAAGCCCTGCATCAGAGTCAGACTTTTAGAAAAACAGGGAACCATATGATATTTTAATAGACTGAATGGAATCATAGCCAAACCATAACTCTAATTCAAGATTTTAATTGAACTATTCTTATTATTGGTCTATGAGATAGCGTATCTTTGAATTAACCTCAACAATTTACCAATATACATAAAACAATTTAATGAAGGACTTATTTGCGTCCATCACCAAAAAAAAAAATGAAACTGAACAGATAAATTAATCAGGCAAAAACACAATTATCGAATTCAAAACTCAAAAAAGTTTAAAACTCACCTTAAATCCCACTTTGTTATCAAGGCAAGAATGCCAATCAGCTTTCATTTCTTTCAAAGGAACACGGTCATGAGGTCTGTCAAGAATAAAATTATTGGTAAATAAAATTGAAGACGTACTGAAAAATATACCACCGATGTCAATGTATGATAGTTTGAGTAAGCACAAAATACATACCTCTTAGGCCCTGAAACACAGGGCTCAACGTCTGCAAGGTCTAGATTTAAGTAGGATGAGTACACCCTTTCTTGTTGAGGCTAGAAATTCACAAAATAAAGGTATGCATCTCAGACTCAAACTGGAAACTGGAATGAAAACTCAACAATGGCATTTAGAAATTGTAAAAGAGTACCACCTCTTTATAGTCAACAAACATCTTATTTGCCCGCAGATATGCTTCTATCATTGCCACCTGAAAAGAAGAAGTTACAATACATGGGTAACAATAGGCAACGGATATTTTATCATCATATTAACACACAAGAACTACTTACAGTCTCATCACTTCTTCCAGTTAATTTGAGATATTGCAAAGTAACATGATCTACAGGGAAAAACCCCATCGTTGCACCATACTCAGGAGACATGTTGGCAATGGTGGCCCTGTCAGCTAATGATAGTTCACCCATACCATCCCCTATGCACAGAAACAAGTTAAACCATTAGCGCTTCCTTGGACAGAACCATGGGAGTTGAATTACTGCAGGTAAGGCTTTAGTTACCATAGAACTCGACAAATTTGCCAACAACACCGTGCTTCCTAAGAATTTGTGTGACAGTTAAGACCAAGTCAGTTGCCGTGACACCATTGCGTAATTCTCCAGATAACTTGAACCCAACAACACCAGGCAACACCATGCTCATTGGCTTCAAGTCAGAAAATATAGCATTAGAAACAAAAATATAATGCAGCAGACTCTTCAACAGCATTCTTTTTCAAGCATCAAGACGAAGTTGATGCAAGATAGATTTAAATTAGACCATTACATGTGTGTTAGGGGTGCTCACACAACTATGTAAGGCTATAATACATAAGTCTCAATTTTTTTCCCCCAGGGAAGCAAGTGTAAATTAAGCAGAGGGTTAGAATGCAAAAGCATAAAACACCTGAGCTTATAGATCCTCATCCTACTAAAAAGTAAACACACATTTCTGAGGATGCATGAGATTTTCAAGACAAGAATCAACGTCAACATACATGCCAATAAAGGAAGAAAATCAGTATATGAAACCTGATATACATAGACAACGTGTTGATGGTGGGATAACCCGTGTTAAAAAGAACTGATTGGAGGAAACGTCACCAAACATAATCCCAACACAAAATCTCTCCCCATGCTGCCTGTGACCTAATAATTACTTTATCATGTATGCCAATTCAAGCTATGGAACATGAAATAGCACCAAGTAGTTCATGCCTTGTAAAATGAACATCATGAATTTGGAACATCTAACCCAGAAAGATTAGTTCCCCCATCCCTCACCCCATCATGCATGACATGGGGAAATAACACAAGCAAAACAACCATCCTTCTGCAGTTCTACATGATACTATTGCTAAAATATCACATGATGCAAAATGACTACTGGACATGACTTAGGTATGCACAGTCCAATGATGAGACATAAATTACAAGGCACCAAGAGGTCCAAGGATCTGCTGCATAGTGATGCATTAGCAGGTGTACAGCAGCACCAAGTAAAATAAAATGATCTAGAGCTATCCAAACATAGTCCATATGACTAATGTAAAAGAATTTATGCTGAACACTACAAATTCGTCAAGTTTCAGTTGTGGCAAAGGACAAAGTTTTCCCATGATTCCATGACATTATTTACCTGGCCAAGCATTGCTGCCTCTGCTTCAATTCCTCCAACTCCCCAACCTGCAACCCCTAATCCATCGATCATAGTAGTGTGGGAATCAGTTCCGACCACACTATCTGGGTAGATTACGCCGTCAGTGTTAAAAACGACCCGTCCAAGATATTCAAGATTAACCTGAAATTATATGACCTCAAATTACTCTTGTTTCCTTCATGCCAACCACATTTTATTAATGCAAATAAGAACAAAATTTTGAAACCAAAACTNAATTATATGACCTCAAATTACTCTTGTTTCCTTCATGCCAACCACATTTTATTAATGAAAATAAGAACAAAATTTTGAAACTACTCAATATTTAGTCTTACAACAGAAATTCAAAATTGAAATAAAAAGGGAAGGGCAAAGCCTAAATCACTCTCACTCATACTTGTACGTCAATTGCATTTGACAGATGTGTAATTCTATATGAGTAAGTAAGCTCTGTGAAGTAACCATATAATTCTGCTTTTGAACCCCATACCTGATGCACTATACCAGACCCTGGAGGAACAACAAGCATATTTTGAAAAGCATTAGATCCCCATTTGAGAAAAGCAAATCTCTCCTTGTTTCTCTGAAATTCAAGCTCCATATTGGCTTGCACGGCATTTTCTGACCTTGCCACATCAACTTGGACTGAATGATCTATAACAAGATCTACAGGAACCTGCATCCAGTAGATTGGATTGAATAGAGATAGTAAGAAAATGTAAACACAACAAATCCCAAAATATACTTAATGGTACAGCAACATCTTATTTCAGCAAATTGCATGAAATCTAAAGGCAAGCCCCTTAACATCACTTCTAATCTCTGAAGGGAGGAAGTTAAGGTGTGATGCAAAGGCATTTCACCAATATCTGATTCTAAAAAAAAAAAACGTCCAATAAAAAACCATACACACCAAAGGATTGATCTTGTTAGAATCACTGCCAAGCTTATTCATGGCATCACGCATACAAGCAAGGTCAACCACAGCTGGTACACCAGTAAAATCCTGGCAAAAAAAAAAAAAACAGAGGCTTTAGGTAAAAAGCTTGATAGCTGGGACAACTCTGTGTGCTAGCTCAAGTCAATACCTGCAAGAGAACACGGGCAGGCTTGAAGGGAATTTCAACTTGCTTCGGGGAAGTTTTTTCCCAATCAATAATCTTCTCAACATCTTCCTTAGTGACTTGAAAGTTGTCACAATTACGAATTGCTGATTCAAGAAGGATTCTAATAGAGTATGGAAGCTTATCTGTCACGTATGCAGGAAAAAACAAGGTTTGAAAAGTTACATGCAGTTATTTGGGGCCATACATGGATAAACAAGTTCCAAATGCTGTGCAGACAAATTGACCACATAAGTATGATAGAAATTAACAACAGTTATGGATACTACAAACTTTAGAATGAAATAGATGCATTACCACACCAAAAAAAAAAAAATTATAGCCAGAAATCAGCTACATAAAGGGAAAAGAAAAGGTAATAACATATCAAATAAGATCTAGAATCAAGTTGAAGGGAATCACAATTACCTATCCTTGGATCATTCAGAGCAGGCAGGCTATAGAATTTTCCGAATTCGCCACCTGCAGGCTTGGGTAGACTGGTAAGGATACCCTTGAAAGCATTCTCAGAAGCTGCACCCATGGAGATATATGATCAGACTTGGAATCTTCTCATTGGTAATCACAACTTCATAATCCTTAGACAAAAAGAATGAACAAAAACTAGTGCAATAGAATGGCAGAGCTTTGTATAAATCAAGCATCTGACTCTCAATGACCAAATGCAAAAAATGATTTCTCGGATCAATTTCATTTGCAAAAGAAGCACTAATGTTCCTTTTGGAAGCTGAGAACGTTCAAAAAAAGGAAAGAAAACTCAAGACTGGACTCTAAAATAGTTCCCAATCACTGAACGTGTCAAAGTAACAAAATCTTCCATCAATCGAACGCAATACGCCAAAAAATGGAATTTTCAGTTAGAGTTTTCTTAGTCTGTTTATTTATTTTTGAATTCCAAATCCAAAAGAAATGATCAGACTCTAATCGAAACTCGAAGTGTACCCATAGTAGCGATCTTTCGTTCGAAGCCGTTGATAGCAGGAGGAGCGACAGTCCTGATCTGCGACCTAAGACTCAACGGAGACTTCCAATCGACACCGTGACTCCACCGCGAAACAGAGCACCGTAGGGACCGCAACGCCGAGGAGTATCCTAGAGATCGGCTCTGGTTGAACACAGCCGGTGAGGAATGAGAACCACTTCTAGCGAGAGAAGAAAAAGATGAGGATAGGGAAGACGAAAATCGAGACCGTGAGGCTCTGAGGAGTGAAGAAGTAGCAGACGAACAGGCCGTTATATACATGACGATCGCTCACACATTAACATCCAAAACGACACACGACGATTATGATGATGATGGTGATAAGGATTGGTTGTACAGATAAGAGAGCTCGGTGAATCGATTAACGGCGTCTTCTGTGAGATAGAGGGGCGTGTGGAGAGAGAGAGAGAGAGAGGACCTAGGGTCGCGTGCCGATTGTGGATGTTCAGAGCTGAAGAATCGTATGCTCTGTGTCTATGGCTGTCTGGCACATGGACTAGGCTTTGGCTTCCTTCCACTGTATAGCGTGTTTTGATTGATTTTTTTACGTTAAAGTTGGAATTNTATGGCTGTCTGGCACATGGACTAGGCTTTGGCTTCCTTCCACTGTATAGCGTGTTTTGATTGATTTTTTACGTTAAAGTTGGAATTTTTTTTTTTCTATTGACTTTTTTAATATTTTTCCTTTTTTGTGGGGCAATTTAGTTACTGTAATTCCTTATTTTCTGGAGTTTCTTTGCCTCTTTGAAAATGTCAATACAACTTCACTTTTTGTACTTTGCTTTTTCGATTGAGAAAATTATACTTTCTACGCATACAGTCCGTTTTGTAAAAAGAATGAAAATATAGGGCGAATAAAAAATTATGAAGAATAATTTTTTTTATCCCTTGAAAAAAGAAGGGTATTTTCCTTCCTCATAGATTGGGATTCCCTAAATTTAAAATTCTTCCAATTTTTATTAATTTTAATTATTAAATTAAGGTCGGATGTTAGTTTAATGGTTATCGTCTTCACTATTAAAGTGTCTATCTAATGTCTCCTAATACAGCTACGAAGGGCAATGCTTTGTAAAAATTGGGCACTGAAAGGGAGATTTCAATGGATATTTCAAAAGCACTAAACTAAGGAGGAAACGTCCCAAGCATGGTATGAAAATCATTCCATTAGGCTTCCTTCTGGTGGTTGCTCCACTTCCTTCCTCCTGCAATGAGACAGGTCGCTGACGAAATTATTTCCTAACTTGAAAACAAGAAAGGGGATCTAATGTTTCACCCATTGACGGGTAAAAGTCGANAATTATTTCCTAACTTGAAAACAAGAAAGGGGATCTAATGTTTCACCCATTGACGGGTAAAAGTCGATCTTTAAGATTGTGAATTCAAATCTCATTGTCTTTCTCCTTGTAATAGTTTTTAATCAAAAAAATCGTTCAATCATCAGGCGCGCACATGCCATCTATTGGCAGTTGTAGAACCCGATGATATTAAATCGAAAAAAATAATAATAATAATAANAAAAAATCGTTCAATCATCAGGCGCGCACATGCCATCTATTGGCAGTTGTAGAACCCGATGATATTAAATCGAAAAAAATAATAATAATAATAAAATTGAGAAAATCTGAATTTTAAAATCATGAAAATAATGATGGTAATATTAATAATAGTAGGAGTTGGATGAATGAACTTCTCCTCTGACCTTTACTTTTATATTTAGTGTGGGTCTCCACTGGACCAACGCAATTGTGAAAGGGCAAAATCATGAGAAGTTTCAATGAAACGGTGTTTGCCTCATCTTCGGCACACGCCTGCTGGCTCCTTTTTTTTTTCTTTTTTTTTAAAGGGTAAAAATTATAGTTAGTCCTTAAAATTTATTTTTGGTTTTAATTTGGTTATTAAACTTTTAATTATCTTAATTTAGTCTTTTAATTATCAGTTTTATCTTAATTAAGTATGTCTATCAATTGTCATCATTAATTTAAGTAGAGACTAGCCTTAATCTGATCAATTTCAGCATTGATATAACAGTGAAAATGGACAGAAGAATTTAATTGAGATAAAACTGATAATTGAGAGACTAAATTAAGATAATTAAAAATTTTGGGATCAAATTAAAATTACGGGTTAATCTCATTTTACACCTCGAAAGATTGTTCGAATCTCAATTTGTACCCTCAAAAATCAAAAATTTTAATTTACACCCTCAAAGATAGAATTTGTATCAATGTACACCCCCAAAGATATCAATGTGCACCCCAAAGATAAAAAATCTCAATTTGTACCCTCAAAGATAGAAATTTGCATCAATGTGCACCTAAAACTAAATTAATAAATTTTACCTAGATCCCCTCATACTTGTCACTTAATCATTTAGATCTCTTCACATTTAGAATATCACTCTTATATCTTATGACATTTGTGCACGTATAACACGTAACTCATTTTCATTGATATCTATTAATATAACCGTTAAAAAATATAATTTTATCCTAATAAAAAATTATAATTTCATATTACCCTTTATTTTATGGGTTTAATATATTCTAAAGTTCAAAATCTAGTTTACCATTTGAATGTCTAATAAAATGTAGATATTTATATAAAAGGTAATATGAAAAATATTATATAAATATTTATATTTTATTAGACATTCAAATGGTAAACTAGATTTTGAACTTTATAGTATATTGAACCTATAAAATAAAGGGTAATATGAAATTATAATTTTTTATTAGGATAAAATTATATTTTTTAACGGTTATATTAATAGATATCAATGAAAATGGGTTACGTGTTATACGTGCACAAATGTCATAAGATGTAGGAGTAATATTCTAAATGTGAAGAGGTCTAAATTTTTAGGGTTAATCTCATTTTGCACCTCGAAAGATTGTTCGAATCTCAATTTACACCCTCAAAGATCAAAAATCTCAATTTACACCCTCAAAGATAGAAATTTGTATCAATGTGCACCCCCAAAGATCAAAAATCTTAATTTGTACCCTCAAAGATAGAAATTTATATCAATGTGCACCCCAAAGATAAAAAATCTCAATTTACACCCTCAAAGATAGAAATTTGTATCAATGTGCACCTAAAATTAAATTGATAAATTATACCTAAATCCCCTCATATTTGTCAGTTAATCATTTAGACCTCTTCACATTTAGAATATTACTCCTACATCTTATGACATTTGTGCACGTATAACACGTAACCCATTTTCATTGATATCTATTAATATAACCGTTAAAAAATATAATTTTATCCTAATAAAAAATTATAATTTCATATTACCCTTTATTTTATGGGTTCAATATATTCTAAGGTTCAAAATCTAGTTTACCATTTGAATGTCTAATAAAATATAAATATTTATATAATATTTTTCATATTACCTTTTATATAAATATCTACATTTTATTAGACATTCAAATGGTAAGCTTGATTTTCAACTATAGAGTATATTGAATCCACAAAATAAAAGATAATATAAAATTATAATTTTTTATTAAGATAAAATTATATTTTTTAACTATTATATTAACAGATATCAACGAAAAGTGGTTATGTGTTACACATGCAACGTCATGAGATGTAAGGGGAATATTCTAAATATGAAAGAGTTCAAATGATTAAATGACAAACATGAGGGGATCTATGTATAATTTATCAATTTAATTTTAGGTGCACATTGATACAAATTTCTATATTTGAGGGTGCAAATTGAGATTTTTTATCTTTGGGAATGCATATTGATACAAATTTCTATTTTTGAGGATGCAAATTAAAATTTTTTATCTTTAAGGGTGCAAATTAAAATTTAAACAATCTTTTAAGGTACAAAATGAGATTAACCCTAAAATTAAAGTTAAAGTTGAGGGACCAACTACTATTTTTATCTTCTTTTTTTTAAAATCTCACTTGATGTGGAATCTTTTAGCCGAAACATTTGTCTAATAAAAAAATATAATTCCAAACTTCTTGAATATTTAAATTTTATTTATTTTAATTCAATAGGATATAATTTATCTCAAAATATTTTTTTATGCTCAAAATATTATCTTTTCTTCATGGTCCCTAGTGTCAGATAATCAATTAATACACTCTCCAACGTTAGATGACTCTCTTAATCCCCACCAAATAAAAAAATATAAATAATTATTTATTAAAATATAAATATTATATCATTAATGTTTAATTTTAAATATTAAAAAGTATCTTTTGACTTGAATTATTTTTTGTTATTATAGTTCCTCCATTCGGGCCAAGCCTACGGTATTGAAAAAAAAAATAATATTATATTATTATTTATTATTTTTATAAATATTTTTATCACTATTATAATAACTATTTTTACTATTGTTATGATAATTATTTTTATCACTATTAAACTACTTACTAATTATTAGACTCGATCTCAAATTATAAAAATTGTAAAAATAGATATCACAATAATAATAAAAATAATCACTGCAATGATAAAATAACTCATAAAAATAATAAATCATTCACAAAATTATAAAATAATTTATAAAAATTATAAAAAAATATTATTAAAATAATAAAATTTAAGGATACGGTACCGAAAAAACAAATTAAATTCGATACCATAGTCAGGTCGCTATTCAAGTTGATGACGACTACTGGTGACAATTTGTTAAGCCAATCCATTACAATAATTTATTGAAATGATTGAGCAATCCGAGGGAGAGGGAGAGCCATGTGGCCTAGGGTTGTGTGCCCATTGAAGAATATTGGTTCACAACGACTTCAACTCGGGTTAACAATAATGCATGAGCAATATTACAAAATTAGGCCTCCCAAGTTAGTCGGGTTGAACGGTTTAATATCGGGTAAAATGAATTTGTATTAAAAAATATTTTATTTATATTTTATTTATATAATAAAATAGAACGAAATTTGAATTCAAAAGACAAAGAAAAGTTCAGATTATTTTGAGACAAAATATAAACACATTTAACGGATAACGTAATTCTATCATAAAAGATGGTTCAGATCATCTCAAAAATTTTGATTTAACAGTCTACAGTTAATCCTGAATTTCTTTTCCCGTCCATGAAGAAGTCTCTTATTGTACGACTCTACACTCCTATCTCTGATACGTCTCTATCTTAAATTTGAAAAGACACAATAACAACTCAGATTAAATTCATTTTAAATTAAAATAATCTAAATTCATCAAACTTAATCTAATGGCTCATAACACATCCCACACAAAAATAAAATCTCACCAGGAGCGGAGCCAAAAAAATACTTTAGGGTGGGCAAATTAATAAATTTTAATTAATTTTTTTATCAATGTTACCAATAATTTAATTCAATATAACTGATATTTTAGTTGTAAATTTCAATATTAGATGAAGTCTACTTTCAATCAAAGAAG